AATCCAAAACCCACTTCACTCGCTTCAGTGGTGAGATGAGAACAGCAATTAGATATTAAAAAAATCAATATATGACAATTAAAAAAATGGAAAATGGATAACAATCAATTGCAGTGAGAAACCATGGCGGGTAGAGAGCTGGTCAGGGGAGCTGAAGATGCCGAGGAGAACTGGTGCCCTGGCACCAATGGGGAGAAGGAGAGAAAGTTTCTCAGGGTTCTGGACAAAAGAGAAGTGATAGATGGAAGAAACAGTGAGGTAGAAATTTTTGTTAAATATTTCTGCTGTAGACCTGGAAAGCAGCCTTGCTGTGTTTCTCTATCATGGGTGGGTGATGACGTTTTTTTCTAGCTCATTAGTAGCCAAGGAGGATTTTTGACAAGGTACAGTGGAGAGAAATATTTTTAAACAAAAAGGCCCTGACAAGTTGCACCCAAGAAACTCTGAAGAGTTGACATGAGATGCTAGTTTTTAAAAAAGCTTATGGACTGGGAAAATGATGTCAAGAGCTGGTCAGGGTAATGTGGGGGAGAGTTGGCAACACTTTGCTTATCTCTTCTGGGCAAAACAATTGAAGAGCCAACATAAGATTCAACTGATAAAGAATTAAAGGATAGAAATATAAATTGTGCCCCTCAGATTTATGGAATATAGATCTTGTCAAATAAAGCTGATTTCATTCTTCTAGGTGACAACTGTGGTTGATGAATGTAGATGAAATAGACTCTGCATGGTGTTGGACGCAGCACCTCATGGTACTGTGCATGGGAGGGCTGAGCACTGGATGGTACTGCTGGCACGGGTGATTCAGAGCTGCCCAACAGCTTTGGGAGTGTGGGGGCTTAGCTGGAGAGGTCAGCAGGGGCCACAGTGGTGGTTAGTGCTTCGTTAGTGATCTGGAAATTAATATGCAATTGCGGCTGATTCGCTTTGTGGGTAAAGCAAAGGCGGGTGGATGGGTGAAGAGCGAGAGGGGTGGGTTTATGGGGTGGCCTGGGCAGACTGTCAAGGAGAGTGTGTTGAGAACACACTGGGTACAGCCTGCTGTGCTCCTTGGCTAGAAGAGCAGAATCGGGGCCATGCTCACACAGCTGGAGTACGGTACTCTGGAAGGCAGCAGCTCTGTGGGAGGCTTAGAGGAAAATCAGCTCTTTCCCAGTATGGTGCCAGTGTGAGAAGGGCTAGGCTGGTCCTTGAGTAGTGGGGGAGGATGAAGGGGTGGAAAAATGACTAAATTTTGAAGTGTGGCTTGATTTTTGGTTGCACAAGTGCCCTTGCTGTGCGTGAGGGGGCCCATTGTGCACCAAGAGCTTTTCAGTGTATCAACCACAAAAAAAAAAAAAATCAAAAAGAGAACAGGTAGATACTGGAGCCATAGAAATTCAGGTGGATCCCAGTACCTGTCTGTAAGTGTGGTTAGCTGTGGGAACTGACATTGGTGGCAAGCAGGGGGTGTTTTTTGTGTCTTCTGAGCTGGTTTGAATAGTTTTCACTGGGATTTTGTGCTTTGCCCTACAGATGGTTTATAGTGCTGAGGAGGTCAAGCTTTACTGAAAGGCACCTGTATTGGAGGAAAGGTAGAGGGTGAGGGCTGGTGATCCCTTCCAGCCTTAAATTCCTGGATGTGGAGCAGCCGAGGCTGTGAGCTCCAGCCCTGCTGCTGGTGGCCAAGGAGGGTGGTTCAGCAGTGACCAGCTTTTTGCATCTGGATAGGGGGGATTCCTGGTAGCCTCTTGGAAATCGGCTGAAGCCCCGATGGCATCACAGTGGGTAACACATCCACCACACGGTCCAGGTGGACGATGAAGCACCAAGAGCCCTGTGGGATGTTCCCCAGCTCTGTCCTCGGCCAGCAGCAGCTGCTGCATCTCCCTGCTGTGAGGACCACATCGCTTGCCCGTGGTCTTGCCCAGGTGTGTTGGCTGGGAAGGCTGTGTGGACACAGGGGCTGGCCCATAGCTAGGAGGCATCAGTGGGTACACAGCCTTTGGGTCCTGCAATCCCATCTGACCCTTGAGGGGACCCGGGGACTGCCATGGCAGTGTAAGGACCCGTCTCATCGCTGATGGGCAGCGCGTGGATTAGTGCCATAATTCCTGCAGTTTGGCAAGGCTGCAGCAGACTGGAACGTATCTCTAGGTGGTGATATGGTCAGTCGATAGCCTTCATAATTAATCAAGCACTAATAGACAAATTAGAAATCACGTCTCTTCAAAGCAGGAGGTGGAGACAAATGGCCGGTGGATTTTAACTGTTTCGCTCCTGTATTTTATTGCCTGGTTTTACGTTGCTCCCTTGAAAAAAGGTGGCTTGTTTAGGGGAGTTTTGTACATAAACATGATTTAAAATTTAAATTATTATCTTAATTACCAAACACGGATGGCGAATTGAAAACTTGTTTTTCAGGCAAGCACATGAAGAATAATCTTACATTTTACACTCCACTAAATCAATGTAGCCCTAATTTTGCCACGCAGGAAATCAATTCCAGTCTTTATAACAGTCGAAGATGTTATGAACAAAGTAATTTCGCAAATTATGGCAAGTAACACATTTATTGATGACTGTAGTTTAGGAATTTAGAATTTGTGAGCGCTGTAATATAATAAGGCCGTACTGGCAGGAGCTGAGTGAAATACAGATTATACGGTGAAACTGTAATGCATCATTTGCTATTAGTGGACTGGTAATAATTACCAGTTTCAAAGCAGCTTTTTCCATGTAATCTTTAGTCTCAGTCGTAACAGCCCTTCTCATTGACATTATGATTACACGAGCTGCCCTTATGATCTGGAATATCTAGTTGATGGGAATACTAAAATGTGGTTGCGAGCGCTCGATGTTGTATCCTCATTATAAGATAAAATGCTATTTTCTCTGACCTGATCTATAAGGTAGAGAGGCGAGGTAGCGTTACGTTGTTAGCTCCTACTGTGGGTGTTAAAAACTTACACTTCATTATGGTGAAGCAAGATGAAATTTTCCTGTTTAAGATTTCTCTTTTTTTTTTTTTCTTTTTTTTTTTTCCCACCCTGAGCTCACAAATGAGCATAGGAATGTGAAAGTCCAATTGAATTTCCCTCTAATTTCAGCCGATTTAGGTATTTATCTGTGCTCGCACGCCTGGCACGTGCTAAACACCATGGTGCATTTTATTCCTGCTTCAGGATGAAAATGTTAAATATTATTCCAAGGGCTTTTTAAAGTGATTAAAGTGTTAAACGCCTGCTGTAGACGATTGAGTCTCTTCGCTCGCCTGATTCAGCTTCTCAGGCCAAACGTAGGAAAAACGGCAGAGCCAGGAGGCAGGGAAGAAAGCTGGGATGGAGCAGTGCAGCCAGCCCTGGGTCTCACAGGATCCACAGGATGGTTAGGGTTGGAAAGGGATAAGATGCCTAGTTAAAGATATCTAAAGATATCTAGTTCCCTCTCATACCCTCCAGATCATCACTCAGCTCACCTGAGGAAGAAAATGTGCACATGAAGCTTTTCTTCCCTTCCTCGCATGTGAGATGGGAAACACGACGGGTGTGGATAAAGCGAGGAAATGTGGACATTTTCCTTCCAAATCTGCCTCAACTGTTTTTTTAATTTTCCTTTTCTTCGTATTAAGCAAATAGGGGAAACTTAATGGGGGCAACTCTCAGTGCAGCCTGTTTACCCTAACAGCCTGTTTAGCCTGAGGAGCAGATTCCTTGGGATATGAGTGTTGGGTCAGTGAAGGAGTATGGGATGAAGGCTGGTATCACCCCAAGTGCTGATGCCCTTGGAGGGCTCCTGGTTTATTACTCAGCAAACCTCAACGCCGTGTTAATTTTTTACAATATCACTAAACAGCAGCTCTGTGAGAACTGCTGGACAGGGCTGTAAATGAATTTTTATCCTTCTCTTAGCTCTGGTTTCGGTTTTACCAGCATTTAGCAAAGAGCATCCATGTGGTGGTGGAAGTGAATTATTTGCAAAATCCCAGTAATCAATAAAAGCACCCTCACCTCTGCCATATCTCACACCACTCTTTCCTCACGGGCGGCCCTCAAAAAGTTATTCATCCCCCTTTGTTTTGCCGTATATTAGAAGGGGCCGCTTTCTGCTGTCACTATTAGCCGGCTTTTTGTTTAGTTATTTATTAGTTGGTTGCTCTTTTATAATGTCCGTGTTATCTCCAAAAATAAATTATCATGAAATAGAGTTAGCTTGCTACTTGCCAAAGTGGCATTTACCATCCTCAGCTTCTTTTCAGCGCGAGAGAAATAATGCGGCTCCGTCAGGGCGCTCGGCCAGGCCTCCTGGCCACCCTCCAGCTCTTTCCCTGGCGGAGCTGCCGCTCCTGCTGCCTTCCCCTTTCCCTGTCCCATGCTCCTTTTTTTCTTTTTTTTTTTTTTTCCTTTTTCTTTCTTTTTTTTGTTTTTTTTTTTTTATTTGCCCCAGAGTTGAATCCGTGCTAAGGAGCAGAAGTTGATGCCTAATTCTGTACACATTGTTAGTCTCAAAAAAAAGGAGGAGACTAATAATAACGTGTTGATGCCCAGCTTGCTGGCAGTTGTGATGCTTTGGGTTGCTGCTTTGAACTGATCTGTGTGAGCGCTTTTCAGAGGGGGATTTATTTATTTTATACTTACTTATCTATTTATTTAACCCCCAGTCCAAATGTGTGCAGCCTGTTGTAGCACAAAGTCTGCTGAGTTGGATCTGGCATGGATTGGTTTTAACACCTCCTTTTCCTTCATAGCTTGTTTTGTGCTGTACCTGCCACTGTTCGGTTTCGAACCAGGAGCTGGGGATGGTGGGAGGAGGTGGATATGCTTTGGGTGGGTTTGGACCTTCGTGTTGCGCCCCCTTGTTTCCTCCCATCCCTGTCCCCTGCACCTGAGCTGGGATGTCCCTTCCCCAGCTCCCGACTGACCGAGTGTCCCGGAGGAGAGGAGCTTAGGCGGGGAGTTGAGCTCTCGCCCGCCGCTGGACGGCTGGAGATTGACGCTGCTTGTTGTGTTATTTTGCAGGTAAAGACGAGCCCAGCAGCTACACGTGTACGACTTGTAAACAGCCTTTCAACAGCGCCTGGTTCCTCTTGCAGCACGCACAGAACACGCACGGCTTACGGATCTACCTAGAAAGCGAGCACGGCAGCCCCCTGACGCCACGGGTTGGTATCCCAACAGGACTAGGTGCAGAGTGCCCTTCCCAGCCACCTCTCCACGGGATTCACATTGCAGACAATAACCCTTTTAACCTGCTCAGAATACCCGGCTCGGTCTCGAGGGAGGCGTCGGGGCTGGGAGAAGGGCGTTTCCCACCCACGCCGCCCCTCTTTAGCCCTCCCCCGAGGCACCATTTGGATCCGCATCGCATTGAGCGCCTGGGTGCGGAAGAAATGGCTCTGGCCACCCATCACCCTAGTGCCTTTGACAGGGTGCTGCGACTGAACCCCATGGCGATGGAGCCCCCCGCTATGGATTTCTCCCGGAGGCTGCGGGAGCTGGCCGGCAACACCTCCAGCCCACCCTTGTCCCCGAGCCGGCCCAGCCCTATGCAAAGGTTGCTGCAGCCCTTCCAGCCCGGCAGCAAGCCCCCGTTCCTGGCCACGCCACCCCTTCCTCCTCTGCAGTCCGCTCCTCCTCCCTCCCAGCCCCCCATGAAGTCCAAGTCCTGCGAGTTCTGCGGGAAGACCTTCAAGTTTCAGAGCAACCTGGTGGTCCACCGCCGGAGCCACACCGGGGAGAAGCCCTACAAGTGCAACCTCTGCGACCACGCCTGCACGCAGGCCAGCAAGCTGAAGCGCCACATGAAGACCCACATGCACAAGTCCTCCCCCATGACAGTGAAGTCGGACGACGGGCTCTCCACCGCCAGCTCCCCTGAGCCGGGCACCAGCGACCTGGTGGGCAGCGCCAGCAGCGCCCTCAAGTCTGTGGTGGCCAAGTTCAAGAGCGAGAACGACCCCAACATGATCCCTGAAAACGGGGATGAGGAAGAGGAGGAGGAGGAGGAGGAAGAAGAAGAGGAGGAGGAGGAAGAGGAGGAGGACTTGAACGAGAGCGACAGGCCGGACTATGGCTTCGGAATGAGCCTGGAGGCAGCCCGCCACCACGAGAACAACTCGCGGGCCGGCGAGGAGGGCCGATCGATGCCGGACGTCATGCAGGGCATGGTCTTGAGCTCCATGCAGCACTTCAGCGAGGCCTTCCACCAGGTCCTGGGGGAGAAACACAAGCGGGGCCACCTCCCCGAGCCTGAGGTGCACAGGGACACTTGCGACGAAGACTCGGTGGCCGGCGAGTCCGACCGCATCGACGAGGGTGCGGTCAACGGCCGGGGCTGCTCCCCGGGGGAGTCCGCCTCGGGAGGCCTGTCCAAAAAGCTGCTGCTGGGTAGCCCCAGCTCCCTGAGCCCCTTCTCCAAACGCATCAAGCTGGAGAAGGAGTTCGACCTGCCGGCCGCCGCCATGCCCAACACCGAGAACGTTTACTCCCAGTGGCTGGCGGGCTACGCCGCCTCCCGGCAGCTGAAGGACCCCTTCCTCAGCTTCGGCGACTCCCGACAATCGCCCTTCGCCTCCTCCTCCGAGCACTCCTCGGAGAACGGCAGCCTGCGCTTCTCCACGCCGCCGGGCGAGCTGGACGGAGGGATCTCAGGCCGCAGCGGCACGGGAAGCGGAGGGAGCACCCCCCATATTAGTGGCCCGGGCCCTGGCAGGCCCAGCTCAAAAGAGGGCAGACGCAGCGACACTTGTGAGTACTGTGGGAAGGTCTTCAAGAACTGTAGTAATCTCACCGTCCACAGACGGAGCCACACGGGCGAGAGGCCGTATAAGTGTGAGCTTTGCAACTACGCCTGCGCCCAGAGTAGCAAGCTCACCCGGCACATGAAAACACACGGGCAGGTGGGAAAGGACGTTTACAAATGCGAGATTTGTAAGATGCCTTTTAGCGTGTACAGTACCCTGGAGAAACACATGAAAAAATGGCACAGTGATCGAGTCTTGAATAACGAGATAAAAACTGAATAGAGGTATATTCGTACCCCCCCCTCCCCATCCACCCCCGTCCCTAACCCATCCCGCATCCCCGTAGAGGTTTTCTAGTCCCTTGTGATGGAAGTCATGGAAGCTAAGGATATTCGGAAAGTGCTTGTCACCAGCACACCCTGTTTATTTTCTTTTTGTTCTCACCGTTTGAATGCATGATCTGTATCGGGGCAATACTATTGCATTTTACGCAAACTTTGAGCCTTTCTCTTGTGCAATAATTTACATGTTGTGTATGTTGGGTTTTTTTTTTTTCCTTGGGTTGTTTTTTTATTTTGGTTGGTTTTCTTTTTTTTTTTTTTTTTTTTTTTTCCTTTAATTTTTGGATTAGACAGCATGTATGGTATGTTATGGCTGTTTTTAAATTGTCCCTGATTAGTTGCTGAGCAAACACGTCGCTGTTTCCAATTCCGTTCGGGAAAAAAAAAAAAAAAAAAAAAGGAGAAAAAAAAAAAAAGAGGAAAAAAGAGGAGAGAGGAGGAGGCAAAAAAAAAAAAGAAAAAGGAGAAAAAAAAAGCAAAACAAAACCAAACCCGAGAGCAAACAAAACCGCCCATGCTGCATACATCTTGTAATACATATCATGTACAGTTTTGTTTTGTGACGTGCGAAGGAAAACACGCTTTGGGTGACCCTCTGCGGACAGGACCGATAGCACCGAAGAAGCGTTGCGTTTAGCTAGATTGCTGTCTTGAACCAATAAACCCACCGATTGGGAGAGAGAAGGTTCCCCTTAGGAACGTTAAAAAAAAAAAAAAAAACACAACAAACCAAACAAAACAAAAGGCCTTTAATTGGGAAGTAACCAGTCAGGAAGAGGTAGATTTCTATTAGTTTGGTTTCAAACACACACACACACACGCTAATAATAATAATAAATAATCTGAGTGCCTTGGATCCGTCGCGGCCGATGCCGATGGCTCCTTTCTGCTCGTCCTCCACGCGTAGCTCGTCGCCACGTCGGTCACGGTGTTGAGCCTCTCCCGACGAGTGCGCCCTCACCACGCCGGCTCCCTAGGAACGAAGAGGAAAGAGGAAACTAAGGAAGAGAAAGAAATGACCCGCTCAGTCCTAGTTAATCATCATTCTCCTCTGCCTTTTTATTATTTTTTATTATTATTATTATTATTATTTTTGAAGCAAACTGATCATACCAGTCTAAAGACCCGCTTGGCTCCTGGAGAGAGCTTAAAACGAGATGTAGAATCTTTCCCCCCCACCCCACCCTGCCCCCTTCCCCAAACTTTTATTCCCCCTCCCCATCGATGATTAAATAGAATGTGAAACTCGCAGAGGCCCTTCACCACCATTAAACACACAATAAAGGAAATCCGTTTTACGAAGATATTTACTTTTAATAATATCTTTTATTGATTCTGGCACCAAAACAAATAAATCCGGAGCCACTTGGTTGTCAAGCTGACAATCAAATTATAAACTTTAAGACCTCCTGTATACCATATAAAAAAAATAAAATAAAGACTGGCAATAATATTTTACTGAGTGTAACAGATAGGGGAGCAAAAAAAATAAGTAAATTGTGATTTATTAGCACAATGTGGTACTGTTTGCCATTTAAAACTAAAACAGGTGTATAAGCTAATATCAACACAGTGATGATTAACTATGAACTATTAAGACTTGCCTTCAATGTGGCGCTTGGAAGAAGTAACAGAAAATTAAAAAAAAAAGAAAAAAAGCGGAAAAAAAAGCGCAAAAGAATAGCAGGATCTGTCTGTGCTCCCTAAAAGTTGTCCTTCTTTTTTTTTTTTTTTTCCCCATCCTCTGTGTGCTATTTGTGTTGACGTGGAAGAGGATTCCTTGTTTTATTCTTAAGCTAGCACCCGCCCCGCTTGGTGTTCAAATAGCACTTGACTCTGCCTGTGATGTCTGTATCTTTTCTTTAATCGAAGGTACAGAGGTTGAGTATAAAATAAGACTGCTCAGATAGGACAATTAAGTGCACTGTACAATTTTCCCAGTTTACAGGTCTATACTTTAAGGGAAAAGTTGCAAGAATGCTGAGGAAAAAAAAAGAAAATAATGAAAAAATATATAAAAATCTGACATGATCTCATTGATGAGCATAAAAAAACCAACCAACCAAACAACAAAACCCACAAAACCCCACAAACTTTGCCAGCCATTTACTTGACTAATGAGCTTATCTTCTCGGACGCGACATTGCAGCGCTGTGAATGGAAACAGACTCTACACTCACAAAAAAATGAATGATTGCTTTCGCTCCTACAGTGCAAGGAAATTTTTTTTGTTTTTTTGTTTTGGGGTTTTTTTGTACAAAAAAAAAAGGAGGAAAAAAGAAAAAACCGCCACAAAAACTTTTTTTTAAATATAAACGTTAAGAAAATTTTTTTAAGGAAAAAAAAGTTTAAAAAAAAAAAAAAAACCACAACACTTCATTATGTTTAGGGGGAAACTGTATTTTAGGGTTCATCGTCTTGGTGGTGTACAAGACTTGTTATTCATTTTAAAATGGTAGTGGAAATTCTATGCCTTGGATATACACAGCTCTTCAGGTTGTATAAAAACATGCATTGGGGAAAGGTTTAAGATTATATAGTACTTAAATATAGGAAAATGCACACTCATGTTGATTCCTATGCTAAAACACATTTATGGTCTCTTTTTTCTGTATTTCTAGAATGGTATTTGAATTAAATGTTCATCTAGTGTAGGCACTATAGTATTTATATTGAAGCTTGTATTTTTAACTGTTGCTTGTTCTCTCAAAAGGTATCGATGTACCTTTTTTGGTAGTGGAAAAAAAAAGGAAAAAAAAAAAAACCACAGGCTGCCACAGTATATTTTTTTAATTTGGCAGGATAATATAGTGCAAATTATTTGTATGTTTCAAAAAAAAAAAAAAGAAAAAAAAAAAAGACAAAAAGACAAAAAAAAAGTGTGACATTGTGCAGATCCGAGGCCATATAATGGCTCTCTGGGGGAAACCTGTTCCGATGTCACGCTGCTGGCCGTCACAGAGGGGTGTACATATCTTTTTTCGTTCTTTTTTTCCTGCTGCCATACTGTATGCAGTACTGCAAGCTAATAACGTTGGTTTGTTATGTAGTGTGCTTTATGTCCCTTTCCTTCTATCACCCGACATTCCAGCATCTTAACTTCATATGCAGTAAAAAGAAAGAAAAGAAAGAAAAGAAAGAAAAGAAAGGAAGAAAAAAAAAAAAAGCTAAAAAAAAAAAGGAAAAAAAAAAAAGGAAATAAAAAACCGTTTTGCAGTTTTTTTCATTGCCAAAAACTAAATGGTGCTTTATATTTAGATTGGAAAGAATTTCATATGCAAAGCATATTAAAGAGAAAGCCCGCTTGAGTCAATACTTTTTTGTAAATGGCAATGCAGAATATTTTGTTATTGGCCTTTTCTATTCCTGTAATGAAAGCTGTTTGTCGTAACTTGAAATTTTATCTTTTACTATGGGAGTCACTATTTATTATTGCTTATGTGCTCTGTTCAAAACAGAGGCACTTAATTTGATCTTTTATTTTTCTTTGGGGTTTTTTTGGGGGATTTTTTTTAATTTTTTTTTTTTTTTTTTTTTTTTTATTATTTGGATGACCAAAGGTCATTACAACCTGGCTTTTTATTGTATTTGTTTCTGGTCTTTGTTAAGTTCTATTGGAAAAACCACTGTCTGTGTTTTTTTGGCAGTTGTCTGCATTATCCTGTTCATACACCCATTTTGTCCCTTTATTGAAAAAATAAAAAAAAAACCTTAAAGTACACAGTGTCAGCTTCTGGTGTCCTCATTTGACACACGCTGGAGGTGGCTTCCAGCAGCAGGATGTAGGAGAAGGTCCCGTGCAGGGGCGTTTTGGGGGACGTGCTCCTATCCCTGAGGAGCGCCCGCCACCCAGCTTGGCCTTAAATCAAGCCGCCTCTGCCCAGGAAGAGGATTTTTGGGCTCAGGAGTTTGCTTTCTGACCAGTGGAAAGCATTTGCAATCTGGACCCGTAGTTTTGGGATTTTTTTTTTTCCCCTCTAGTTCAGGACTGAGCTGTGACCCCCTCACCGTACGATAGCCTGCGGCATCCCTGGCCTTCGCTCGGTCTGCAGCAGGGACTTCCCTCCCTGCCTGGCAGTGCTTTGGCAGAAGAGGTGAGCAAACAAAAAGCTCTGCAGCCCCCCCAGAGGCTCCCCAAATCCCCAGCTGCTTTGGGGGATGTGGGGTGAAATCAGCCACGTGGGCAGGAGCTGATTTCTCTCTCGGGGGGCTGAGATCTTAACGCCGCGGCTCCGGGATTGCGCTGACCCCAACCCAAAGCTCCCGGCACCGCTGCTGGCTGGAGCTGGGAGCTGCCCCCTCTTCTCCACTGGGCTTTTATTTTTTTTGGTGGGAATCTCAGGTTTATGTGCCTTGTCTCTAAAACCCGGAGTTCAGGTCCCCCCTGTCCCCCCTTAGGGGTCTGTGTATGTTGTCAGTTTGACAAATACTGCATGTTGCAGCATCTCTTTACTTTATTAAAGCACGTACCGCTGTGATACTGTCTCTTGCTGTTCCTAGTGTAATGGATTTAAAGGTTTATTTTTTTCTTTTCCTTTTTTTTTTTTTTGATTTTTGTAAAACCTTCCAGTTGTTCTGTTGTCTTCCTGTGATGGCATCGTTTGTTGCCTGTATTTTGCCCGGCGCCTTCTGAAGGGGAACTTTGGGATTTAAAAAAAGACAGAAATAGGTGTCTAAAGAAAAAGACTTGCTCCTTTTCTAAAGAGAGATTTTTAAAAAATTAATAAAGCTCCATTTTGATCCTGGGAGAGGAGGAGTGAAGGTTGAGTTGTCCAGGCTGGCAGGATGAGCTTGCAGTGGGGCTGGAAAAGTGCTGGCAGTGCCCTTGAACTGCGCTCCCCCTTTGGGAGCTGGAGCTGTGCAGATGCAGGCACTGCTGGAGGGATCCCTAGCACAGTGCAGGGGAGGCAGAGCCTGGCACCAGAGTGGTGAGCTCGAGGTGTCAGGATGGACACTGGCTGTTCCCAGGAGGGCTGGTGTATGCAGGGACGCGCTTTGCAGCTGCCTTGCTGACACGGCTCTTGATCCCGTGCCATGGAATATCTGTATGGACTCCAGTCTCTCCCTTCCTCTCGTTATTTTTATTGCTGGTTCAGACCATGACCAAGATGTTGTCTAGAGGACTCTGGTTAGCTGGTGTGCCCGGGGTTGAGCGTAGCCTGGCTGTGTTTCAGAGCGGGTGCTGTTCCCTGTGTCTATCCTATGGTGGTCGTCGCTCTACTTCCTTTCTCTGTACTATATTTAGGATATGGAATAATCAGCTATACAAGCATATAGACAGGCACCCACATAGAGACCCGTGGACAGGCACCACTAGGTAGATCTGGGCTCCCTGCGCTGCTACAGAATTAACCAGTGGAAAGTGTACAATTGATTTATTGATGAAATTGCACAGCAGTGCGTTCGATTTACACATTTCCAAAAGCTAAATTTTACAGGTTTCTGGAGAGATAAACGAGCCCTGTGGGTGCTGTGTCGCCCTGTGGCCACACACAGGGGGCTGGGGCGGTGGTTTGGAGGAAGGAGCTTTGGGAGAAGCGGCTCCTGCTGTAGGAGAAGTTGTCTGAACACCGGCTGGGCAGGGGCGTAGCTTGCGAACGACAGCGTGCTGTCACCTCCACACCAAAGCAGAATGTGGGAAAAACGTGATGTTTTTCTACCAGTGGCAATGAGTTAACGGTGTGATAAACACACTGGAGTTTGCTGGGTTGGGGCGTGGATGTCCAAGGTCCCCACCACGTGCTCTCGAGCTGCTTTGGCATCCCGTGCTCGCGTGACCTGCACTCCCCAGAGACTTCCCTGTTTTCCTCTGTGCAGAAAGATGATGTCTCTAGAAATAAGAGTGGTATTTGGGTAACAGTGTCTCTCTTGTTAAAATCTCAGCCCCGACCACTTTCGGGGAGGAGCGTGGTTTTGGGGCAGAGACCCCTTCGCCATTAGTGTTCAGTCTCCTCCAAATGGAATGACTGATGTAATGAAGGCACTGAAACAGTATCCAGAATTTAGAGTACAGATGTTTCATATTTATTTTGTTTCCAAGGGCTGAGATAACACAGGAATAAGTGATACCATGTCTTTGCTTGACATTCAGGAGGTTTTGGCATACCTGAGGAGATAACAGTTTTGGGGTTTATCTAAGTGCAGAGTTTGTACTAAAAAAGAAAAAGAGATACCAGCTGCTCTTTTAGCTCCCTCCTTCTCTTTTTTCCTCCAGTAAAGGTTGAAACCCATTTTTGGCGGGTGCATGGGCAAATTGGAGTATTGACTAGGAGAGTGATACTGCCCAGAGGGGCTCTTTGCCAGAGCTGCTGAAGAGATGCTGCTCCCCGAGCCCAGATGCTCGGCTGCTGGTTTCAAAGGAGCCACAGGGATCCCAGGAGGGGCAGGAGGCACGGGGGAACCCCAAGCTTCCGTGCCCCTTGGCGGGATGTAGGGTTTGCAGCGGTGGTGTGCTTGCAGCTGGGGTGGCTGCAGCGCCCTTGGCTGCCTTGGAAGCCTCAGCCAGCTTTAACATCAGCCTGGAAACCTGTTGGGCTCAGGCACCAGGCAGCAACAAGCCCTCCCCGGGGGGAAATCGGGCACGTGCTCGTTCCTTCAGAGGAGGCACTCCAGTTTACACCCAGTGAAGATCTGGCCTAGGAAGGAGCTGCTTGTTTAGTCCTGACAGGCACCTCGTGTGTAGCCCTTCAGCCACTCTTGTAGGTAGTAATGAAGCAATTTCCTTATAAACAGCTCCCTGGTGGGGCTGTGGAGGTGGATTTTGAGGGGTGCACTGAAGATGCACCGGCCTCAGCACCACCACCACCACTTGGCCTGCTGTGTGGGGCAGCGCGGTGCTTGGTGATGGGCCTCGGGCTCCGTCTGAGGGGAGCTGGGAATGATTGCTGTCCTGGTGACACATCCTGTGGCTTTGCTGGGGCTTTGCAGCTTGAGCTTTGCTTTTGCCGTGCGACATCCAGCATGTAGTGAGTTGGGAAGAGTCCTCCGTGAAACACCCGCCATGTGCTGCTATTAACAGTTACCAGCTTTAGGAGGGGCTCCAGCACCTGGATGCGCTGTGGGTGCCGGGGGAAGTCCCTGAGGTTTTGGGAAAGAATAGGAGGAGGTTTCAAGACAGGCTGGTTTGGTCCTTTGCCCAGGTGTCTCAGTAAAGCCCAGAGGTTTTTTTCCTCCTGAGTGATCCCTGTGGTTGCTGCGTGGTGCCGAGGATGCCGGACGCGAGAGTGTGGCCCGAGAGGAGGAAGGGCTCCATCCTGCCGTACCCCTGTGTGACAGTTGGGTGTCCCAGTTGTTAAAGCCAAAAAAGAGACCCCCTGCCCCCACAAAGGAAAAAAAAAAGTAGGATAAGAGAATGACTCACACCGTGGGCCGTGTCACACCTGTTCTCTCCTCTGTCCCCATGCTCTCTGTAGGTTCGGCGTACCCCCCCAGCTGGCGCAGCGCCCAGGGAGCCCCGGATGTCTGGCAGTTTTCGGATGGAAGTTCAAGAGCACTTAAGTTCTGAGAGGAGGTGAAGCTGGGGCGAGCGGCTGGCGGCGTCTCGGCGTCCGGAGGTGGCCTCTGTCCTGCTGGCTCGCCGCGTTCCCGGGAGAGCCTGAGGAGTCACCCGCCGAAGGCAGCGCTCCCTGGGCTCCTCCTGCCTGCAAGACTATCGTATTTATATTTTGTAATAGAGTACAACACTTCTTTGGGGTTGTTTTCTTGGGGTTTTCTTGATTGGTTGTTTTTTTTTGGTCATTTGTTTTTTTGTTTTTTATTTTCTAAAAACAAACGAAAAAAAAAAAGCAAACCCACCCACCGAGGTCAAGGGCTTATTGATGGCTTCAGCCAGCTCCTTTCCCCGTGGAAAAGACTGTCTTGCTCTCATGGACAACCCGGCCTGTTGGTTACCCCCGTGACGTGCCACTTCTCGGGAGGCACATCTGTTGTGATGAATTAAAAATAAAACAAAACACAGTGTAGGTCTGTGGGTGGGTGGGAAATTGCCATAATAAATGTTGGAGCTTTAGGTTTTTTGTTTGCTCTGTCTTTAATTTTTAATGCCAACAAGGGCCAGGCGGTTGGTATGACTTTGTACTCCGTGTCGGCTGCAGGAAACCAAGTGCTGAGTTTACACCAGGGCTGGTGTTGGTGCGAGGGGCTGCACGGCCGCAGGGGACAGGCCTGTCCCACGTAACTGGACCAGGAGCTGGGTTTATGGCCATGGCACCTGAGTGCTGGTGAACCCCCGCTGGCGTTTGGTGATGCTGATGGGGTGGGAGGGTCCTCCCAGCTCCCTCCTCCATTACCCACCTCTTCCTGATGAATGCCAGCTGTCGTGTTAACATTTCTGCTGTTAAACCACGTGCTTTCGGGGCTGGTGGTGTCTGTAATGCCCGTCAGCGTCTGTGCAAGGAGGGGGCAGATTCGGGGAGAAGCAACACTCTTGTTACGGGGATGCTGTCAGTGCCAGGGGACGCAGAGCCCTGCCCTGAGCTGGGGCACCTGCTGCCAGCTCGGCGTCCTGGTGTCTGCCATGGAGTGCTCCAGACTTTGCACAGGGGGCACGAGCTTCCCTGCTTGGCCAGTGCCGCTCATCCCTCGCCTGGAGCTGCTGGTTGGGGGCCCAGCGCGTTGCTGAGCAGGGGGTGGGTGAAGTGTGAGCTCGTGCGCTGTCTCCGATGGGATTTATAGGCTGTAGCTGCTCATGTCTGTGCCGACGAGTGGGAATGGACCTTATTTGGTGAAAGAAACCAGCTGGGTAGCGAGTGGAGTGGCTGCTTGGCTGTGTCGGGCTGCCAGGATCAGCGGGACGGAGCCGAGTCGTGGGGCAGGGGCCAGTGTATTTATTGGCTTCGTGGATGAACTTTGATCTCATTTCTGTTTAATTCAGCTCCTTCCTTAAAATCTGGGTGAGGCCCTCCCTTGGGGTGACTCTCTCCTGGCGAAACGCCCATAGGGAAAACGATGTTGCCTTTTCCATGGGTGCTGGTTGCTCTTTTGTTGTTTTTTGGTTTTTTTTTAAACCTTGGGCTCTAGTTCTCATGGTGGTCTGGGCACAGCACAAGCACAGACACTTTGGTACCTTAAAATTTGGCAAGGGGGCAGGGTGGGAGGAAGGAGCAGCTCCCAGGGGTGCCACACTGGGAGCCTGGAGGACTTGGTGCACAGGGACCCAAAGGGACCTATTGCTGCTTCTTTTAAGGTGGTTTGGTCTTTGAGGTCAAACTACCCAAAATTCTACGCACACCCTCAGCTCTTTTTCATCATTAGGAGATGTTTTTAAAGGTTCTTCGTGTCCCAGCCTGTGCTACCACCTCCATGTCTGCTCATGAGGGGGTTTTGAGCCTTGGAAGGGCGAATCCTGTTGGATTAAGCATCCTATTGATTGTGAGTGCACAGCTAGGGGGGGGATTTAGCAGCTCCATTAGCTACTGGCACCCCCATTCCTGCCCTGGAGTATCTGCACCAGGCAGCTGTGTCAGATTAGGGCTAATTGAGTTTTTAACTGCCAAGGGGGGTGCTCTGCTCTCTCCTCCAGACTGCAAATCAGGACTCACCTGGTTCATATCTACATCAGGCCTGTCCCAGGCCAGAGGGGAAGCTGCTTTATAAGAGGTTTCAGTGAGCTGGGTGCTTTTTTTTGCTGCTCTGCCTGGTGGAATAAGTGTGATGTGCTCTGCTATCTCTGGCTTGGCTTGTCTCCCCTTCAGCAGCCAGTGTGAGGCAGGGGTTTCTCCCAGGAAAAGCAGGAAATAACAGAGAGGTGACGGCTGAATGAGCTCTGCCAAGCACAGAAGCGATACCTGTCTTCTCCTGAAGTGCTGAAGGTAAAATGAAATAGTCCTTAAAATGTCTATTTTTTAATATAGGTGTTAAGCTCTCCCCTAGCTCTTAGGACTTTTAAAACATCTTCAGAATTCATGTTGCCTTAAAGTTACAAACAGGTGTAATGTCTGTGCTGAGAACCTCTTGTAAATGCTGGGATACCTGGGAATCACCCAGCTTAGCTCTGAGGCTTTGGGAGACTGGGAGGTGATTTGACTGTGCTGTGTTTGATTTCTAAGCACACTTTCCTGACACTAAAATGCAGCAGAGGTCAAGTATTTTGTGAAGTTTAACTTATGTTTTGCTTTCAAAATAATATATATTTTGGATTTGCGATGCATTTGGGTTGCAGGCTTTTGAGAGATGAGAGACCTTTCTCCAGAAGGGATCTGAAAGCAGGTCTAAATCCTCTGAATGAGTTTTCAAGCCACACTCCCAAACTCCCTGGGTTTTGTTTCAACCCCAGCTTTGTGTTGGGTCCCCCAAGTGACTGTGGGGCCAGCAGCAGCCTCAGGCTGGGGAGCATCCTGGTGTTGGTGGATGGCAACGTGACTGTGGACTCTGGGGAAGGTGGAGAGAAGCTCCATCCTCCTTGGGCTGCTGGAGGTTATCTTACCAACTGTGCTCTTTGCTCTGTAGTTTTTCATCTCATTTCTTGTGTTCTGCGTGTGCTTGAGCTCTCTGGGTGCTGGTGAGACCCAGGGATGAGCCTTTACCTGTGGATTTTTGGTGGTGAGGCAGAGGTCCTACTAAACATCACTGCTGTTCCAGGGCTCCCTGCTCTGCTGGGGTATTTCACCTGATCCCACTATAAAATCTTATTGAGGAGTGAGCTGAACAACCCCCAGTGCCCCCAAAAATGAGTGGTGCCTCATTTGCTTCTTTTTTCTTCACTCTCTGCTTCTCCTCCCACCCAGTTTTCCCATTTCAGGTGCGATTAGGCATCAACATTCAGTTGTGTGTTGTACCTGCTTCAAGTCAATTAAACATTGTTGCCCCTCCATCCTAATCCTCTCCCCCTCAAAAACCACCCTCTTAACATTCATCTTCTACAGGGGGCCAAATAACCAATTATTCCCAAGGAAAGATGGAGCTGTGGAAAGGGGAGAACAACAACAACAACAAAAAAAACCCTCCCAAACCCCAAATATGGCTCTTACTCCTTAATCTCCCTGGATAGAGTTACACATCTGGTAGAGGCTTGCTCGTCGTTGCCATTACTTTTATTGCATCTTTAGCAGTGATGAAGTTCAGATGGCAGAACCAGTGGGCCCCAATTTAATTTCGCCCGGCCTCCCCTAACGAGCAGGACGTGATCCCTGGGAATGCTGGCTCGGCTGCGGTTCCAGCGGGGAAGGTGCTCGTGTGCCCTGGTGATGGATAGAGCAGTGTGGGCAGGCAAAAAAGCCCCGTGTGAGGGTGGGAGGGGGAAAAAAAAAAATCTGGGAATAGGGATGATAACAGGTGGGTGGAGGTGCCTGTGCTGTGTGAGCGTCGAACACTGCAGTGAGGGGGGGGTTGGATGGACAGGTGGTTTCTCATACCAAAACCCAGAAGCAGGGTGATAAAGTGGATTTCCACCTCCTTCTCGTGGCTGGGGTGTGCGTGCTGCGACGCTTCCCGAGGTTGCTCTAGCCCTGAATGGTTCTCCCCTGGCGATTTCCGTGACCCTCCGGGTTTCCAGTGGTGATGTACAGAAGCTCCCGCCTCTCCCCGCAATGTCTGCATGTGTCTAAGGGCTATACAGGATTCATTTACGGGCCTCCCGTCGGTGGGATATGTGCATGCAAAATGAAGGTTGTATTTGGCTTCTCATATTCGGATCTATATTCCATATTGTGTTGACCAAGAAAAACACCTCAGCCCCCGTGCTGAAGAATGTGATGGACTTGATGACTTTTCAGAAACGTACTGTAAATCAAGGAGGCTAATAAATACTTGCTATTAATAAATTGGGGCTACTGCCTTTCAAGTTATTTTCACGTTTTACAGCACCCTGATTTAAGCGGCGCGAAGAAGGCGATTCCTTTGGACACCTCCCCCCCTGGCACGATGTGGCTCAGTTCAACCTCAAAGGCTCAGGCAGGAGTTCTTCCCTCTGTGAGGAGGTTTAGTTGGAGCAGTGAGACCCCTGCCCAAGCCCATGGAGCCAGTGAGGGGCTGACCTCAGCGACAGGGTCCCCTGGGCAAGATGTGGTCTCCCCCTGTGGCCTGGCAGATGATCCCCAGGGCTTGCCAAGCCCAGTGCATCAAAGAGCCCGCAGCCAAAAAGCTCTCCCACCTGCACCAGCTCATGCTAAACCTTTAATGGTTCCCAGTTGTGAGAGCAGCCGCTCCAGGTGGTGAGTGCACAGGCAGAGCATCCACAGGCTGCTTAACCCTTTCTGTCAGGTTTCTCTGGATCTGTACACGAGAGGTTGGGTGAAGGCCTTGGTGGCCAGGGGCCTCCTGTGAAGGACTCCTGCAGGCAGCAGAAAATGGGGCTTTGAACGTGCTTCTTGAGCATCTGTAGTGCCTGTGGGAATGCCAGGACCCTCTTTATATAGAGCTGTGCCCTTGCAAACCTGGGACACTCAGGGCAGGGAGGGAGCAGGGGAT